TGTGCTGGGTGTGGCTCGGTCGTTGGAAAGGAGTAATACAGCAAATCCGTCCCAATTAGCTGCAGTCTTGTGCAGAGTTGTGCATCCCTGCAATACAGGGCATGCTGTGAACAGGCATGTTACTTCCCAATTAGTAGGGAACTGAAAACTAAAATACCAGAACTCAGGCACTTTTTTATTGTTAAACTGAGGTGGTGCAAATTATTCTTCCCATCCTATTGTTCCCATTTAAGTAGATTTTTAGGACAACGAGGAGAAAAACCCTGCATGGTTGCCCTAGATCAAGTTCTCCAAAGCATATGCAGGAAGGAATTCAGGACTTGGTTAAGCACTGAAATGTACTTCTCTCTAGCTTTCTTTTGATGAAAGATGGAAATATTTTTGGCTGAAATACCTAAGGTCACCCACAGGTAGCCATTTAATACAGAAAATGGTGACTGGCTTTCCTAGTTTAACACTGGTTAAACTAGTGTTAAAGATTCTGCTTGGTGGCTTGTCATATTTGTCAGCTACCATATTGGCACATTGCAACCTTAGTTAGTTTTGACACTATTTTACTTAAGCCTTTCCTGTCTATAAAACCTTTAAGTGTAGAATTCAATTTTAAAATATTGGATAAACTGAGGGAATGAGTCCATACAGGAAAAAAAAAAAACCTGTATCCAGCACATCTAATAAAATGCAGAGCAACCAAAATAAACATGTATTTTAAAGAATGCAATTTACCTCTTATTCTAGATACATCAACAAACTAAAACAGTAAAACCACAACTATCCAGACAAAAAATGTAAATAACTTTATTTATAATCTATTTTCAAGTTAAACTGATGCAAGTTGAAGGAGATGTAACAATATGGAAATAAGAGGTAGGAGAAATACAGAAATGGTAGACAGGTTGCATTTTCCCAGTATGACTTTCTGTAGCCCTGAAACAGTGTATGAATGCAAAGCTGCAGACTTGGTTCTTTCTCAGTATGCATGAGTGATTTTACTTTGTACTTGTTACAAAATGAAAAGTGCAACTGAAACAATTTCTGAGCTGAATATTTCATTAGGTGTCTTTATGATCAGGCATAGTTAGAAGAATATACCTCCATGCAAGCAGGTTACAGGATTTTACAATTTGAGTGCAAAACATTTTCTTCTCTAACAATTATCACACTTATATGCTGATGGAATAGTAATGATATAAAACCAATTAGGTGTTAAATGCATATTTGCTCAGTTGAATAATAAACTGCAATTGACCTTAAATTAAAGCAGTATTTACAGGGATTGTGGTTTACCACTTTATCTAGCAGGATGAAAAGCTTTAGTGCAAAATAAAGTGCAGTTATTACACAGGAAAAGATTCCTTCCTCACCCTGTGATTAAGACATATTGCATGACTCGGTGAAACAATCTAGCCTATTCAAGGCAAAATAGACTTTAGCATAAATGATCGCTCTGTTCCTGGTTTCAATGGAAAAGCATGTAATGACAGCTCCTGTTATTGGTTTCACTGGGTTTTATTTAGGCTATAAAGCCTTTTCTCTTAATACAGAAGAAACAAAGAATGTTTACAAGTTAAGTATTGTGCCAGTTGTAGCACATTCCTAAAGGGTTAGCTAATGCCATCAATGTTCTAATAAATACTCTGGTCACATATTAGCTGTACGGGAGTAAAACCTAAACGTAACAATATTGTAGTACGTGAAGTGAGAGTTACTACTCTATGAAGAGGATTTCAAGAGTAGTTTTCAGATAACCAGCCAATGCTTCATTCCATTTAACCTTGGGGATAGTTCTCCCATAAATCCAGTATGCTATAGGGCTTGTACTTCACAGTACAACTTCTACTCCCCTTATCAAAGTTAGTAGAACTCACTTTAAGCAGCTGAAAATATGCAAGACAACTAAGAGGAACTGTGAAGTTGAACGGGAGATATGCTAGGAGCAATGCTTCTCTCCTGACAACACACTACACCAAGCAATGTTAGTACAGTAGTTGTAGCCCATGTACCACCTCCATCCATCTTGTAAATGGTATCCTGTCCGATTAAATGTAACTGAACTTAAGTAGCAGTTTTCTTGAATGGATTGAACTACCTCTGGAAAAAGACCCTGTTAGGGATTTTCTTCTTTGTCATCAGATGTTCAGTCAGAAGCTGTTACTTGGAAATGTATTTAATGTAAAGCTTAAGTATCTCTACAGCCTCAAAAAGGCAGCTGCAGCAACTTTATAGAGAATTTTAAAAAGCATTTTAATGCTGTATATAGGCAAGCTCTATTGAATAAAGTATGAAATGTCTTAAAGTTGTTTAAGTTGTTGTATTAAGCTTTACTGCTTTCAACAGATGGTAATATGGATTTTGTATTTGTGTTTTTTCCAATTTCATTTGTTAGAATCAAGTACATGACTTAGCCCCAAACTTTGCATTTGTTTCTACTTGAAGTGCTCTTTTTTGATGACAAGATGAATCAGATATAATGTCTGTGGTCCAGGAGTTCCTGTGTATTTCTCCATTTGGGAGTCTATTGTTACTCTTCCACATACCTTCCCCAGTCTAACTGGCCAGCAGAGATCACTTTGTCTTAGGAATCAAAGTAGGCTTCTCAAATTAGTTTTGATATAAAAAGAAGAAAGTGTGAGTGCTGAGAACCTCCATGGAGTAAAAACAAGTGTACCTTGTACCAGAAAGCAGTGTGAACAGTAAGCAGAATGAAAAAAGCTGACATAATAAAAAACCAGAAATGCAGTGGTCTCTGAAAGAGTAAGATTAACAGAGCAAGAAAAGCCAGGGTAGGAACAGAAATACTGTAGAGTGGAAAAATCTTTAACTTGGCCAGATAACCATGACTTAAGATAGATATGTGTAATGAAACTTTAAAAAAAAAAAAATCCTTAGTTGTTTAAGCCAGTGACTTACCACACAAGAATAGAAAGAGAATCCTTCTTTCTAAGGCAATTATTTTTTGATAAAGTTTCAGTACTAGTTATTTGTACAGTCACAGGATCAGTTTTAGCTTATTACAGTTAAGAATTTTAAGCTTATGTTAAATACTGCATACATACAGAATGTAATACAGTTTGCCATGCCTAGGAAAATAGTGCCATAATGCTGACCTCCAGGGCTACCATCATGATTTGAGGGTATACATGGCAGTAGAAAAGCCTAGAACTTCTTAATACCCTTTCCTTTGCCAAGCTAAGTTCCATTTTGGTTTCTGTGTGTTATCCTACTCAGGATTAGTGTCTTCTCTTTCTCTACAATTTGTGGTACTCCTTCATATGCAACCATCTCCTTCCCTCCTGCCCAATGAAGTTGAAAAATATTTCATGTTACTAATGATGGCAACTCCACAGGCTTAAAGAAACAAACTTTTCCAGCATTAGTTTTAAGTACACTCTATACTCCAACACTCATTTATGCTCATTATAAAAGGGCACATCAAATGGGCCTGGTGTTTCAATATTTGACCGGAATACAGCCATAATGATCTTCACCATAAGAATAACGTGCCTTTTACACCAGGATTTTAGAATTAAGCTGTTATGCAAGATCAGCCCACTACAGAACTCCTCTCCACTCAGTAGCCCTGGAGATCAATCTAATGCACATACTGAAAATTACTTAGGGATTTTAATAAACCACCTATTTAGTGTATTAATTTTCAGAGGAGTAACTATACATAAACGGTATGTTCCAAGTTATGTGCAATAGATCTGTTTAACAGATTTATTCTTGTTTGCAAACACGCACGAAGAATTTTCTGTCTTCTATTCAAGCAGAAGAGTTACAATGGTGCTTTTGCTACTAACTATGGTATGCATTTTGGGGTTATATACTATTCCAATTCACATGCTTCCTTTAAGTCAGGAATGCTCTTCAGTGCTGCCACTGAAAGATCTGCTCCGGACATGATTTCTCAGTTGCTCTATGAGCTCTGGATTCTGCTGCTGTATCTGTTGTGCAAACTGCTGCCCCCTGTGTTGAACAGTGTTAAGCAAAATCAACAAGTGAAAAAAAACTGACAAGCAGCATTCATAAGAAAATAGGATATCCCAATACAACTGAAAGTTGCATTATATGAAAGTTAAGACTAAAGATAACTTGCTGTATAGTCTTAATGAAGATAGTTGTAGCATTATGACTTTATCTAGTTAAATTCTCTCCAAACAGGACTGTCATCAGATCTTCATTTTCATTCTTTAGGACTATTCCTTCTAGCTGATAACATGGAGGAAAATGTATTACCTTACTTGGTAAAAACTAAAATTTAGCAACAAATCTGCTGCAGTGATTCATTCCCTTCTTCTTTGAGAGGATCCATTCTAGTTGTTTAAGATAACTACTCTTCTAGTCAAAGTGTAACCTTATATTAGTTTTTCCAGAAATACAGTGTGCAGCTGCCAACTTGTACTTGTGAGCAAGACGTTGTTAGCAGAAAGCAAGCATACAGTTACGCCTTTGTCTCGTATGACTGAAGTAATGACAGATCCATCTCTATAGCAGTTGTAGTTTAAGAGTTAAATTAGTAGATGAGATTAATTCCATGTAAAGGATAAGCATAACACAGGTTTACTGGAAAAAACAAGTAAGTAAAACATATTAGTTCATGAATAGCCTGGCATGGCTTCTCTGTAACTTTTGCATTTTGCCCAAGTAGCAAATTGTCAAGGCTCTTTTAAACCACAGTGCAGGTTGAAGGAAAGCCACTGTTTTCATAGATCTAGGTGGGTACATGGTTTTTGTGAGCCCTTGATTTTGTGGGGGCGCATTCCTGTCTGTGATGTGAATTATAAATTACTTTTGCCCTGAAGGGGCAAAACTTAAAAAATAGTTTGAAACAGGCTAGAATGCTGAAATAAAGTAAAATTTTATGCCCTCTAAGAGGTCTTGCCATATAAGCAAATGGCATGTTTTTGTGCAGACTCTTCCAGATGGATTATCATTATACTATAAAAGACCTGGGTCCTGGTTTTTGTAAAAGCTGCTCCTCATGATACTGAGTTCCCTGAAGTCTTCCTAGTCTAAACAGAGGGATGCCAGAGAAGAACTTGTTGCAACCTGTGCTGAGTAAATCTGTAGCTTTTCTAACTGGTGTTTGGGATAGCATGTAGTAAATTTATAAACACAATTTGAAAGCACATGTAGGAGTACTTAAAGATTTAAAGGAGTATTTTTAGTAAGTGGCATTTAGAAAGTAAACTGTGTATGAGAACCAGAAAGTGAAACTGAGCATCCAATTCAGTCATTCCAATTGATAGAAATTTACAAAGCAAACAAACAAGGTAGTGGAAAATAAGTCTTCACATTCTCAGTTTTAATAATAATCAGGCATACAATGGGGACAGGCCACAGTATAATTGGTTTGACACTATCCCTTTTAAATAGATGTTGCACAATGATGCTTCTACAAATGTAACAGTTAAACTATGCAATTCTTACTTACGCATGGATCAGGCTGGACAAATCTGACAGGCCACCAACACCTGCAGCAGGGCCACCAATGGCATTTGACATCATCCCTGACATCCTGGAACAGTTAGCACACTGTTGGCATTGGGGTATGCAGGGAACTTTACAGTAAGCAATAAACCATAGTTCTTTTTTGAATTGCTGGGAGGAAATAAGCTGCAAGAGGAAGAAACTGCAGTAGTTTTATTTACAGTAAGCAAAAATTAAATTACATTTTCAGGAATACAGTACTATCCACCTTTTCTCTTATTAATCCAAACCCCTAAAGATGTTTGTTTTAAAGGTACTCCATTATAATACTTACAATTGTTGAACTTGAGGATTCTGCATTAAGCTTGCTGCCTAGAATAGACAATATATAGCTGAAATAACACATTTACTAGTTGGGTATCACTGAGGAAAATGTGGGGAAAAAAACAAACCAAAACCTCCACATGCTGTGTTCTATGTTTTATTACAAAACTAAGCTAAGTTTATGGGCCCAGAGGTGTATGGTCCGCAGCAAAAAGAATCATTACAGGAATGTATTTCAAGGATATGAAGCTGAGACAATTTGTTACATGTTAGATAAAAAATAATGGTTACAGATTCAGACATGAAAAATATGACAACATTAAACATAAAAACCCAGTACCAGAAAACTTTAAAAAAAAAATTAACTTAAGACTTCCAAGGACAAAGGTTTTCTATTGGGCTTTTGGGAGAAAGGTCTGTATTTTGTTGATTCCCAGCCTGGATAAATCAGTTTTGCAACTACTATTACTACGGGGTATAAACTGTTAAGATTATGGCCACAAAATATTGCAGAGTAAACCAGAGCGTGGACTTACTTTGTAGCATGGTTTTGTGGTAACATATATCCTCTGTGCTATTTGCATACATTCTTACTTTGTAGTAAGCATGAGGTTATTTAATTTCTCACTCATAAGAGACCTCAAAAATTATATTGTGTTTACCATAGTGTAAGGGTGTGTATGGACAGGTAATACAGAATAAACCAGATGATGTTTTAAAGTTATTAACATTATTCCTACAGAAGTCGGTGTCTGTATGAATACAAGACCAACAGGCACAACGCAGTATCTGCTTATTTACTCTCTTATTAAAGGTACTACAAAAACCAGATATATACCATATTCATTTTATTGATCAATATATCTCCATCTATATATCTCAAAAGTAAATCAGCTGTTTTCTGTACACTACAGTTGGATATAAATTGCCAAATTCAGGTCAATTCTATGGGTAATACAGGGGGTTTTCTTCTTTCTTCCATCAGTAAGAAGTCTGATCTAGGTTAGGGGCCCAAAACACAGGCTAGAAGTAACTAACTTTCTCAAGGTCAGACAGTGAGTCAATTTTTTTCCTTCAAAACAAAACACTACACCAGATGTAGAAAAAATTCATTCATTTCTGGCTGAATGCCCTGTGTTCTATCCACTTGACCAGGCATCTTCTGGAAATGATGCAAAAAATCCTTTCCCCATAGTTAGCTCCATATATAAGAGTACATCTTTGATTCCAAACAGATGCAGTCTGTCTGTGTAAGTCATGTGGCCAATGAAGTGGTACACAGAGTTCCAGCGCTATTTAATCACTCATGCCATCGGAGAACTTGCTCACTTCTTCCTTGCCTACTGTCTCTATTATCTGGACCATAGTATCAGACCAGATGCATTGATCTCTCTTGCACGCAGTGCACTTCCACACAGAAGAACTGGTTGAAATGTCCTGTCCTAATGAAGCTACCCGAGGGACAGAAAAGCTTTAACTGAGTTCTCAAAGGAAATAAGTAGTTTTTGCATTTTTTTTTCCCTCCAAATTCCATTCTTCAAAGTTAATTAATACCATTTAGCTAAGAAAGCCATGCATGGAGAAAAACTACTGAGGGACAAAACCACAATTTGGAAGTGTTTTTTATGCTTTTACAGTTGGAAGTAAAGGAATGCACTATACCTTATTTATATTCATTGTTTGCACACCTCGAAGTTTTTCACACTTAAGGATGTCAGGGATAATTTGAAAGAGGAAGAACAGAAAGGTCTCTTGGGTTGTTCTCCCCAAGCAGAGTTACTTTAGTCTTGGGGAGGCTGCATCTGAATCAACTGCTATGCGCTTAAGAGGTGATTTATTTGTATTAATTTTTAACTGCTATGTGGACAACAGAAAAGAAATTTTCACCATGCTGTTGACAAGTGTTTTACTATCATGCCCTCTATAAAAAAAGCATAGCTAATCTATTCATGCTGTTGTTCATAAGTAAGAATCTATTGGAAATAAGACAGGCATTACAGGACATTTATGCTTTACTTCTTGTTTTGAGTGTAAAATGACTTAGAAAAGTTTAAATTCAGTATAACGAAACCATTACCATTATAATAAGCATTAAAATTGTTTGTGTTATTAAACAAGAGTTGTTCGTAAAACTTCAGTTTTAAAAACAGTATAATGTAGAGCTTGAAATATACTCACCATACTAATGAAGGCAGGATTGTTTATCAAGCTTGCCATGTCAAAACTCAGTCCAGTTCCAGTCTACAAACAAATTGCAATTGAAGATAAGTTTAATCCCAGTTAAAACTATAGATACAGTTAAAATAAAATAGATACAGTTAAAAATAAATAGATACACAGCTAACTTACAGGGCTGGACATGTCTCTTAGTTTCTGTTCTGCTATTTTCAAATTTGACTTGTAAGAATCATTCTCTGGATCAAGATCCAGTGCTTTCTGGTAACTGGTAACTGCTTCTTCATATTTGTTCACTGAGGTCAGAGCCAACCTAATGTGAAATAAAGAAATCCTGGGTAGAAAATAAATGACCATAAAAAGATACTGATACATTTTCTAAGTAAAACAGTATCTGACAACTAATTTTTAGCTTGAGCACTAAGTGAAAGCAAGTTTTGCTATTGTGCTACTACTGCTTTGTGTAAGCACTTGTTTTTGCAGAAGAGAACAACTCATCTTGCACTGTCTGTTCCATATCTATGCATGTTTCATTAAAAACTCCTTGCATCATCAAGTGATTTAGTCTATATTTGAGAGCACAAGCTGGATCCAGCTTCCGTGACTTTTTGCATAAGCTCAGGAATTCCTGTGTTTCCTCCAGTCCTTTTGATCCAAGAGATCATTCAGAAGGGTACATGGGTAAGTAGGGCGAAGATACTGTTAACATGAGTTCTGCAGCTTCAAGAAACCAAATACTGGAACCACAAGTTTCAGCATAATAGATTTTTGTCTTAGGATCACTGCAAGGTTCTCCTTTCAGATCTTCTACTTCAACAGCTTGACAAATGGGTTATACAGGATAGTAGTAACATCTGTAAGATGCTGTAAAAAACCCTTGTGTTAGGGAAGTCTGCTTAATGTTTTGAAAAAGATTCTTCTCCAGCAGCTCAGGAGAGCACAGGACACATCTACTACTTTTGAAACAGTATTTGTTTTCAAGTTCAATTAGCTACTACATTTAAAACATCATCTGTCTTTGAGCTATTCCAGAAGTTCATCTGGTTGCAGTTTCAATTCTATCTTCTACTGTATTTTCAATTTATACTGACCACAAAACTAAAGTGATCTTTTCCACATTTTGTGAAAGATCTGTGTAACCCATATTCAGCTATTTAGTACTCCAGTCCCACTTTGGTATGTGCTGAGCTACACAGACAGGGTTGATAAGCCTGTGCTAATGCCCACTAACAGACCTTAGTCTTTCATCTCAGGCAAGAGAGCTCAGTGTTAGATACATCAGTCACAGTCATTACTCTCAGTGATGATGAACTCAATAACAGTATGAAACTCCAGGAGTTTCCAGTAATGCTTATGGAGGAACCCACACAATATTAATGTTTACTCTCTTAACACAGTTACTCCCATAAAAAATATATTCTCCCTTTTGGCGCATTAACTTGCCAAAATAGTTTCTGACTAGACAAGAAATGCAATCTGGTGTTTCTGTGATGCAATCGTGTCTTTTTACAGAGAAAGTATGTAAAATTCTGCTTCAAGGAACACGATACAAGTCAGAACAGCAGGCGACAGTTTCTTTGCTCACAATTCCTACCCAGACAAGTGCTCTTGCAGGGTCATGCTGGAAGTATCACTTTAACTGTCTACACGACTCCCATCTCTGCCTTTTTCTGTGGCTCTCCTGCATCTTTCCATGACATAAAAAGAGTTTCTGTCAAATCCTGAGAAAAACTGATATGCCTGCGTAATGCAGTCAGAAAACACGGCTTTCTCATAAGGAGTTTTTGTTGAGAATGGTGGTTTCTGCATTTGTCTTTTTCAGCTATTACTAAAAAAGCACTGTTCCCTCATTCAGCCTATGCCAAATGTATTACTATATCCATCTGCTGAGTTAAGCAATGGCTTGTAGCTCAGAATATATCCTCTATCAAAACAACCAGACAATCAAAAAAAGAGAAGCTTGATTGCCTGAGAATGATCCCACTTACATTGTGTATCAAAAGGCACACTGGTCTTACACCCAAAACTCTAAAATAACCTCCAATTTTCAATTAAATCAGCCTGTAGCTTCCCTCCATCTCACTGAAATCGGGGGATCTCAGGTTGTGCTATATGAAGAAATGATCTAAAGAGAGTTAAATAGGACAAAAACAATTCAACAGTCCCTAAAATTTCAAAGTGAATTAAAATTTCAAAGTAAATTACGCATCTCAAAAGCCAGTCAGGGTACGATTGTATTAGTAAAATAAACTGTATCATCAAAAGCTTTCAAATGATAGAATTCCATTATCTTTGATCTTGATTAAATGCCCCCTGGCATGGTTTTGTCCCAGGCCAACATTATCCCAGACAATTTTGGGGCATGGTTCAGAATTTAACACAGGCCAACACAATTTAGCAATGAGGAGTTTGGATGTGGCCACTCCATACTGCAAACTAGATATTAATAACATGGACATGAGCCATTTTGTGCCAGCTGACCCAGCAAACAATCCCAAGGATTTTTTAATTTACTAGTATAGCTATCACCTCAAAAGCCTTATGCTGCATTCAGCCCACACCCACAATATGTTTGAATATTGAAAATGCAAAGCTACATATCTTGGAAGAATGGTTCTTCACTCAAGTAGATATCCCATTCAGAACATTCCTGACTTTTTTTTTTTCAGATAGCACTTACTCAGACCCACCACCTAAAGAGGCTATACTGTTAATCTCAGAAATGACTTAGAAAAACTACCAAAAGGACATAGCTTAGTCTTGCTAAAATATCTGCTTCCAAAGAACTATTGAACAGAAAAATTAAGCCTCTACTCCTACTAGTATGAAGCCCCAATACTTTTAGGATTCTGTTCTCTAACAGCATCATTAACAGATTCACTGTTCCAACTGCAGAATTTTGATTACTCATAACTAGGTAGGAGGTAGAAAAAACAGATCATGACTTTCAGAAGTAAATTTGCAAAGTTGATAAACTGAAAGAAAAAACATTGCAAGCTGATGAAATCTGCTATGAAAATGCTGAGATCAACCACATATATAAAACTTAAAGCTCGCAGCCTGACAGGGTCATCTTCAGAAAATTGCTACACTTTCAGAACAAGAATATCAGCTAAGTAAAACAATTTAGTTCCACTTATTATAGAAAATCTATAGTGATTTACACTTGAGTCTTCAGTGCTTACTCAGGAGGGAAGGAAAAGAGCTTTGTCAAAAAAACAATACAAGAAAAAAAAAAAGCTTAGATATTCACATGTCCATGACTAACTTTAGACTTGTTTGATCTTACTGACTTTTCATTCACTATTTAGGCAATGCCTCAGCTTTCCTCAATTAAGCAGGACAAGCAAATGTTCTGAATTAAGTATATGCTTAAGTGCATTGCAAGACTAGGGCTTTAGAGAACATGCACTCACCTTTGAGGATGCAAAGGATAAATAATTCTAAGGAACTGTTTTAGATTCAGCATATGACTGTGCACAAAATACATCATAAAACCTATTACACGAAGTGAAACTCTGAAGTAGTAGTTTGCATAAAATCATTGTTTAAGCAGAAGTATTTTATGCAATTGGTGTTTTCCAGCAAGAAGTATAGTTTTACTGCCGTTCAAAGGAATGCTGTGATTTTTCCCTGCTCCGTTTTTTAGCAGGCAACTCATGCTTGAAGGTAAGTCGGGATAACATTTCTCAAGAATCTCTGAATTGCTAAATTACAACTGCATCTCTAACAGAAATACTAAATGTTGTGGACGTTTATACACTAAGATTAAAGACTTGCCCAAATTAAAAAGGACATTGGAACAGATTAATAATCAAAACTTCCCCAGTTTGAAAGGTCTCAAAACACTAATTTGTTCTTCCTTGATTAAAAAACTATAGTAGAAGTGACAATATTTCCATTGTATAAAGTATTCTTCTTTTTTAGGAATGCTAGATGCTACAATCACCACTATATTCAATCCTTTCTCCTATGATAACCTCCAAACTGCATGTTTTTTCTGGCTTTGATTAAAATCTCTTCTGAATGGGACTACTTATATGTTTTAAATATTTAGGCCACTTAACAGTTGTCCAACTCCACAGATGCCAGTGAAGACGTATGGATAAAAGCTGGGGACAATGCTTGGTCTCTCATGTGTTTGAACAGAAAATGTTTTTTCCATGTTTACAAAAAGTTTATATGGCCAGTTAAAACTTCAAGGGCATCTCAGCTCTCTCTTCCCCACTACTGCGAATAAAAAGCAATACTGTTGAAGGCAATACCTCTCCACTGCTCCCAAACTAGCTTAAAGATAAGAATAAGGCCTATATTTATTCAAATACCACATGACCCACAAAACTCCAAGCCTGTCTTCTTTTAAATAACTTCATACAATACTCTGCTTGCTGACATCAAGATTCATTTTGGTCCTCACGAGTGTGATATGTGATGATGTAACACACAAAGTGAAGTATTCCTACTCTTGCCAATTGCAGATTTGGTGCGTAAGCCCATTCTACTGAGAAAACTTTCAGCGATTTTGGGAGGCTTTTGAATCTGGTCTTGTATTGCTCTTTTATACCTAAAATCACTTATGTGATCAGTTTTCTCAAGGAAAATAGATGATTTACACATTGAACTGCTGTCTTAGAGATATAAAATATTAGTAAACTGCACATTTCCTTTCTTTTCATGCTTGCCACGGAACACTGAATCTTTCACTTGTATTTATCACAAACTAAACTCTGGAGTAATGGAAGCACAGCTCCAAAAATAGAAAAATCCACTGGGCACAGTGCCACAAGACCAGACTGACAGCACTTAAGTTAATATATGCTTCTGGTAACGGAAGCACTGAAGAGTGTAGAGCAGAGTGGCTCTAGAGGCAGGCCAGTTCCAGTAGGGCTCATAGACTATACTGCCTTTGCTCTTATGCTGGTCTTCTGGGCAGTATGGGAAAGCATACTTCTGCTGCTGGGTTAACATGCACTTCCAGACTTCATCTGCTCCCATGTCATTACGTCTTCACTATGGTGAAGAACAGATTATACAATGAAATTACAACAGCCTTGTTATTTTTCAACAGGTCATGCATAAAAATGCTGAGTATTTATACAATGCTTGAAATCTCAAAAATGGTATTCCCGCATTGATATTTCTTCCAGGAAAAGCCAATACTAGGGGAGATAGTGATGGCAGCTGAGTCACGAACACACCAGAAAAAAAGGCTCTTACTACTCTCAACAGACTGGGAATCACAGCCTACGTTATGATTTAATATAGACAACCTAACTCACAAAAACCTGATTGCAAGTGTTACAAGTAATTTTAAAGCACATATTACACCTTTAACTGATACAGATATGCTGAATGAACTCACTTTTGCTTTAGAGCTTTTACAAACTTAACATGATAAATTTCAGGTCACCATAAATCACCTCCAGCATGGCTAATTCCCTCAGGTACTGGCTACCTCTCTCCATAGTGGTCGCTTTGCCTGGGCAATATATAACATCTTCCTTGAAGGGATATCTTTCCTTCATACCTGACAGGAGTCATCTCCATAGGCTGAGGGCTTGTGCCCCTTTTCCAATCACTTTGTCAATGCCCCATTCCCTAGAAATGGATCCCAGCTGCTTGGCTTCCTTACCCTCTAATTCCAGGCTACTGGCCCCATTATCCCAGCATTGGAGCAGCCAGGTGACGATGTGCTCACCTGGACAACAGCTGAAATTTTTTCATATCTCTCACAGCTCACTCCAGGATACGGATCGGGTTATTTCTGTCTCGTTTATGAGTTCTTTCTCTTCCTCTTGATGGCCCTGCTTTTTCATCATCCCTTTCTAAACAAGCTAACTTTTGCTTCCAAGATTTCTTCTTGTGTATAGAGGCAACTGGTAGTAGCATGGGTTGGGTCCCTGGTTCAGCTGCAGTGCCTGTCACTGGGGTTGGAGTAGCCACGGTTGTTTTGTCGTCAGATGCAGAGACCTTCTCTTCGCCTTGAGGGTACTAAATAGTGTTGAACAGGGCTTGGTAGGCATGGGCCAGACCCCAGCACATTGCAGTGATTTGTATGTCTCTGGAGTTGCCAGGGTGACAACATACTTTTTCCAAATACTGTAGTAGTTTTTCAGGATTCTGCACTTGTTCAGGGGTGAAGTTCCAAAACACTGGAGGTGCCCACTATCCTAGGCATTTGCCCATGCTGTCCCGCACACCCTGCCACTCATAACTACCCAGCCTTGGGGCAGATCTCCAGATGATAGTCTTAAATGGCTTATTAACCTTAGACAAAACCGAAACAATATTCCCAAGAAATACCAATAGAAGTATCTTAACTATCCAAGGATGTTCAAGATTGTGAAAAGTTGTTTTAATGAAGGAGGAAACATCATAGAAGAAGGTAGCAAACGTGCCATTTAGCAAAGGTGCCGATTGCTACCACAACACTGCACTGGCGGCAATATCACACAAACCAAGACTCCCTGATGCCTATCCATGAGCTGGCAACCTAATTCACAAAAACCTGATCACAAGTGTTACAAGTAATTTTAAAGCCCATATTACACCTTTAACTGATACAGATATGCTGAATGAGCTCAGTTTCACTTTAGAGCTTTTACAAATTTAACATGATGAATTTCTGAATGGTGAGGTTTTCTAGCCTCATGTTGTTTTGATCTACTTCACAGTTTATCTTTAAAATAATGCTAGTGAAGTGCAGGAATGAAAAGTGTGTATTCTTTAGTTTTTACCTGTTGCAGTAATAGACTGCATTGTTTGGATCCAGTTCTATAGCCCTTGTATAACAATCCACTGCAGCACCATAATTTTCTTCTTTCATGTGATTATTACCTGAAATAAATTATAAAAAGCTCTTAAGTAGTTAGAAGATAGAGTGCTATGTATGAAAGAAATAGAGCAGCCACGTTATAGCATCTATATGAGGTAGTTATGACTGCACTTTTTTGAGATACATTCTTTTAAATAGAATTGGCATGGAATAATGCGAATAAAAATATCTACTATGTCTGTAAAGTTTATTATATACATTGTAGTCCATCACATAAACCTCTGCCTTCTCGTCTTGCTTTTTCACACTTTCCAGCTAGTTTCTGCTGTTAAGCAAAGATCACTTTGTTGAGAAGCGTAATCGTAATTGCAGTTCCACTCTAATATAGATTCATCAGTCTTAACTGTCTTCGCACAATCCAATAAGCTATATGTTAATTCCTTTTTGGTCTCATTTTCTCACATGTCCCAACAACTTGCTTGTAACTATCCATATAACATGGAAAATCAAAAGCAAAACTAAGCACGTAAGCCGCACTTTTGTGATGCCATGTAATTCATTCATTAAGATAATAAAAAGTACATATAGCACAGGCAATCTAAAACGATTCATTCAGAGGTAACATTTCTCACCAACAAAGCTCAGAACTTCTACTCTATAATGAAGTTTCATATTTCATATTTTTAAGTCCAGTGAAAACAAAGAAAAATATAACTTTTCTATGGAAAGAAAATTCTGGAGTAAGGTCTTTCAAAACAAAAGATATCTTACGCATTCTTTCCTCCCCAACACAGGGCAGTCCTGGTAGTTTCTTTCTTTCCTGATGACAGAGTAGTAGAGAAAAAGTCCTAGTTCAGAGTGCCTAAGCTTAAGGTTGTCCCTGGTCCTGCAACTACAGATCTTTGGCCTGCTAGATCCTACAGGAGCTGTGGTTTCCCAGCAATGTCAAGAAATTGTCAGGAAAATTACAGATGTCCACTGACTTCCTTGTATTTTGGCAAAATATTTCTACCCTCTCCCAAAATAAGCAAAAGAAGGCATAGGTCAACAGGTTACTACAGATGTAGATTCCTTCTTGGGTAGCATTAGTAAAGACTTCTATGGTACAGCTGCTTTTCCTCACATAACAGCAATAACACCTATCAAAGAGAAAATAAACAACTGGCTTTTCTGCAATTTTTATAGAGCGCACAAATCATTTCACATATGTGAAATACTAACCCTAGTAAGTTCACAAGAATTCTTCCATCAGCTTCAGCTGGGTCAGCTTTTTACCAATGTTTTAATATTCAGCTAGCACATAATCCTTGACATCGCATAACCTTTTCAATATAAAGTTGAAACTTGTATAGCTAATTCCATGGACAAACAGAGCAATCTATAATACACTGAACAATAAGTGTTCATTCTTCAAAGCTTCTACTACTCAGAATGTCGCCCAGGGCTCCACGTGTTATCCCTTAGTTTTCAGGCAACCACCTGAGCAGGGGAGAGAACAGACTATTTTCTCAAACCCCAGATGGAGCAAATCACTTGGCCCTCTTACAACACAGCAATCACCAGAGAATACAAGCTTAAGTTTTTGTGTGGGCTGCGTGTTGCCCAACTGCTATACTATCACTATCCATGATAACCCAAAAATCTTAATAAAAGCATAAGATATTTATTCCTATGTTTATTACAAACCTTCATCCTTCAGTTGGTCAGCCTTTTCAACATCCTCTGGTAAAGAATCTGAGAGAGGCAGCATGTCATTCTGTATGTAAACAAACCAAGATTTTTTTCATTAAAACATAAGCCCTAATTTTATTCAAAATGTCTTTTATGCTGGGCAGCATTGTATCAACAAGCAATCAGATTTTCTGTAGTGCACAGGAAGTATGAAAGAACTAAACATCACTAAACCATCCTCAGAAGAGAAAGATAGCTTGCTTTCTACTGCTAAAAAAAAACCTTATGGCTCACCACACGTTTTAAGGAAGCAAAGGGGAAGAGGGCTGATATGTCTCTACAGTCCTGGTTTTCTTACTTCAGACTCTCCTATTTGCTATCCTGGTGGTTCCTGTGCTTCCTGTACTGGGGATCCCAGATAACACGCATTATTAGTACACATTTTTGAAGCTCCCATTTTAAGGTTAGTGTTCATGGAGATGTTTTTAAAACTGAACAACTAAATTATTTCCAGAAGGGAGTGAGAAGCATCAGCAAACTACGAATGACCTCAAGCACTTCACAGACATTTATCTCTGGGAATTGCAAAATGCTTAACTGAAGGATAAAATCCTTCAAGTGAGAATGAGACATCCACTGTTTAGTAATTTTCTATACGGAATTGTCCTTGTCTAGCTGAAATTAATTCCTCCCACTGCCCCAAAAGATTCTCATTCTGCTAGCTTGTATGGAAATTTCACTTTTTTCATGTTTTCCTTAAGTTTCCACATCGTTTTGACCTATATAGCACTTTAAGGTTGTGTATACAATATGAAATCTTAGCACATATTGGCAGAGTAATTCTAGAATCTAAATGAAATTCATACCTTGTGAAAAGATTTTGTGAACATTTCTATCAAATGCTGTGGAGGTGCAAGATGAGTATCTTCCAAGTTAATCTTAAACACAGTCTCCAGACACTGAATTGCAACTTACAAGAAAAAAATAAATATATAAGACACCAGTTTCTCAATAGAAGTATAATTGCACTAATTTATTTATAAAGCTGTGATTCACTTCCTTATTCAGCTAGTAAAAGCAGGTCTTCGGAATATATCATAAAAAAAGAAGCTACTTGATCCCCACAGAACTGACTTGCTGAAAAATAGTATCAGCTATACAGAATCCATACATAGTTCGGTCATTATTCTTAAACCAATTTAAAAACTTTTCTTTCAATTCTTTCAATCATTTAATGTCTTTTTTTTTTAAACATAAAAATATGAGGATTTAACAAAAGCACCACAACTCATAATACAAGTATGCACATACTGCTATATATTTGTGTGGCATAATAGTTGGAAGAAATAGCTCATCTTTACTGTAAAGAATAAATGCAAGATACTTATTGCTATTTTTTTGGAACAAAATATATTAATTTGAAGACACTGTTTATTAATAAAATGCTTCATTAATCACAAGTCTTTATTCTATAAAAACTATATCTGCAGTATCCTTTCACATGTTGTGTAAAGATAATGCCCTCCCAAACCTGTAATAAAGCAAATATACTCACAATTAGAATTCTTAAAAAAAGTAGAGAAAATACCTAACTGAAGCTTTAAACATGCTCACATATTTTTAGGCAAAAGAAGATCAATAGCAAATACTATATACAATTCTGTGTGTATATATATATATATATATATATATATATGTATTCTATTAATTATATTATCTCTAATTATATAATTATTTTCCCTATCATCTTGAGAATCTAGTAGAATGTTTTTATTAAGGTATATCATCTAAATGTTTTAGACTGAAAACTGAGGAGGAACAAAGAAGAGTCTTTTTAAAGCCTGGTTTGAACAAAAAAAACCTTTTTTAACTGGAACTATAGATAACCAGGAGTAGCTGAATTCAAATTAAGTATCAGTACAAACCGAATCTTAGCACTTAAATGGAATTTCAGTCCAATTTTAATATAATAAATATAACTTGAATTCTTATTTGCATTATAATGAACCTGAACACTAACCCAAAATTAAAAAAGCAAAATTAATGGAAGTTAGCAACAGTAAGGCCAGTTTGAAGAGCCTATTTTCTACATTACAGCTGGGAGAAAGGCATGAAAAAGTAGACTTGTAAAATAAATAGTAAAACAAATAGTAAAACCTGAAAGATGTAATTTTTTTTAAAATTCTGATAATGTATGATAGAAATTATTCAGAAAAAGACAAGTATGATACAAAATTAATGCTGATAACATGTAACAATTGAATACATTGCTAAATATGCATACAACTTGCTCCTATAACGGATAAATGCTAAAAATGTATCAGTTTGCCGGGTTCTAAATTACCCAGTAAGAGTGATGAAGGATTTGGCTTAAACTCCTTTGTTTCCTGCTATGTAGAAAAACTTATAAATTAAGCACTGATTATGCTGAATTTTGAATTATACATTAATAGTACTTATTATCAGGCCTATCACAAAATCAGTGGAATTACAGATCTCATTTTTCCTTATATGACTTAATAGAAAGCCACTTGCCATAGTATACTTACCAATTTTCCCCTCAAACTTATTTTCACCTAAAGGCATTCCCTTTCTTGAATGCCTCACCTCATTTGTAGTTTTGAATAAATTTAAAATACAATCCCCTCCTTTATCTTTCTCAAGGCATTAAGTCTGTGACACCAACTCTCTATCATACAGGAGATTTTTGCAACATGCAGCAGTGGAAATTATGCTTAAACAAAATAATCCTGAGTATAGTATTACTACTAGTAAGCACTTCCATGAAATAATCAGTTGTTACAGTGAACTCCCACATTTCTCCTTTAACTGAAATACGGAATTCATAATGCTTATAATCCATCTATCACAGGTGTAACAAAATTAGGAGCTCTTATGAGATGAATCCATAGGTTAGAGTAATAACCACTGGTTAACATGCAAGCCAACAATAGAAACCTGTGTAAAAATAAACATAGCCAAACCAGCAACTTTTCTGAATGAGGAAATGTGTTAAGTTGTGACAAGATCGATAACTATCCTGTTTTAATGTGACATAAAAACCTGACCCCAGTAAAGTCAAAGGAGTGAAGACTTGGTTTTGTCTGGAAAGTATCCCAAGAGACTAGACTGCCAGCATCTCACTATCCCATTATCAAATTGAGGCACTGTCAACTGCCGCAAGCTCGATATCATCAGTAAGTTGGGAAAGACTTGCTGTACCACGTGAGCTATTAATCTAAGATTCTTCCTGTGTCTGATTTCAAAGTTATCTGTTCTCTCTATTTTCTCTATCATCACACACACTTTTAGAGGCCTAAGCAGTTACTGAAGCTTGTGCTGACCAACTTGCAAACCAATACAGTCAGCTGGGGCTCACACAAACACCTACTACCTGACAACAGGAGCACCTGGGCTATGCTGGAGCCCAGCTTGGCATCTCCAGTGCCACACAGCTCCAGGATTTTCTGCTGTCCAAGCACAGGCTGCAAGCAACATTAAGGCATCACAGCAGACATGTAAGCTGTTGATCACTGAATAATGAATATTAACTGGGCTGATGAGGCCCCTTTAGTACTCCGTATCATCTTGCTTCATCTTACACATAACCTTCCCCATCTCAAGTATTACACGAATCCCCCACCTTAAGAGGTGCGTTGCACTGTTTTGGAAACACTGCCTTAGAGAAATTCACTGTGGTACATTGATCTTAGAAGTAAGAAAAAAAAAACAAAAAACACAGCCTTGTGCATGTTGTAGAGAGTTTCTGCTTTAATCCCACAGAAATAGGTGCTATAGACGAGAAAAAAAAATAGACACTGTAAACAGGCAAGAGAAATAACTGCCATTTAAACACACTGTCTAAAATATAACTTGGAAGAGTGAGGTTTCTAGTTCATACAACAGACTTGAGCATTAACCACCAGAGATCTGTATCACTGCTCTAGATCCTAGGTTGTAGAGGAGTATATTTCTCCAGTCTACCTTCCGATTACTCTGCTTTCTCAAAACAGGGCATTTTTAATCATCATTCAAGTACAAAATTCTTAGAGGAAATTTACACCATCATTGACATTGCTATATAATTCAAACATGTTGAATGCAGGTTATCAATATAAATGTAGTTTGAATACATGCTACACTTCTATTTTGATAAACTCTCAATTTCATTTGTAATGTTCTAGCTCTTTTTGTTGCTTTGTGGGGAATGGGAACTGTTTAAATTACTTCCTGGCACAGACACTTAATCATACAGTGTTTTATCTTTTCATAGACACCAAACAGGTACACAAGGTACCAATGAAAAGCATCAGTCAAATTTTTTCATCCCTTACGTCTCCACCTAACATTAAACACTTCAATGGGTGGGACTTGGGCTATTGCTACTCTACATGCACTAAAGGTATTTTGCATAACTAAAATGAGTCAATTATTCAGAATGCCTGCCTCCTACCCTCTAACACATAGCATATGGTACCATGCTTTTGGCAGGGTACAGCTCTAAAATTAGGATTTCATATCTGTATTAAAATGGTAAATTTTACATCAGCATTTAAGCACAGCTGAGGTTTTGTAATATTTTTTGTTCAGAAAACAGAATCTTAAAATTTATTCCTTCATAAAGACATTGGCTAAAGCTGCTCTGAGACATGTCCTCAGGTAAATTTTCAGTCATAACCCAATGTTTATCACTTCTATTATAAAAACAAAAGGAATACTCTTCATCTCTCATTATGTGATTTCCAAAAACATTGCTTGCTTTCATCAGCTGAACATCGCCATAACCTGATACAGATTAAATTCATAGGCGACTACCACTTGTCAAATGTACAAAATGCTCCAGATTTTGATGTAAAACCAAATCTTTTGGCTTTTATTCTTTCGGAAGTATCCTTTGAATACCATGATACAAATGTTTCTTTCTTGCTTACATTAGTGAACAACTACACTGTAAAACCAATAGAGACTGGAAGGAAGCACGCTCCAGGTTTATCTTTTTAAGTTTATGCCTCCCAGAAGCAGGACTTGCTTTGCACTTTAGGCAAGTCTACTCTCCACACTTCAAGTTCAGGTAACTCAGTGATCAACTGCCTGTATGCTGTTTATTGCGGTGCTGGTCCTAGACTTCCCCCTCTTACCTCCAAATTCCTCCTCTGGTTGAGTGATACAACCAAAGACTGCCCGAAACAGTGCAAAGGTCTTTTAAATAGATGCTATGAAAGCTCATTGCAGAATTGAGACTTTTTGTTCTTCTCTTGCTTAGTTCCACATTGTGATACCATCTGCCATGAAGTCTCCACAAGTTAGGGAAAAGGAATAAGAGCAGTATGAAGGAGAAACACAGATACTATGAAGTTACAAAGACTTAATGAATGCCTGTCAACAGAAGAATACACACAGACGTCCCTTTCTGTAGCTATGTCTACAGATAGATGGACTTGGATGTATAATAGAAACTATACCATACTGAAAATATTCACTACCGCTCTTTGGAATCACTATTCAAGTGAAAAAGAAACGCAAAGCATTTATTTTATTTTCTGTATTCTTAGGATGTCTTAGCCTTCCCTCATAAGTTACATGGAATTCTTGCAAGCATGAAACAAGAGTTCTTCTCATATACCAAAATCCATATACAGTAGTTGTTTTACTTCCTCCATGGCCAGCACAGCTACTATGAGACACAAAATGCAGAAAGAAACCAAACACAAGAGTAAAGAGAAAAAAAATCAACAGGCAAAAATTTGTGGGACACATAGGCAAATCATTACCATAGTCTGCATTATAGAACTGCTTAACTTGATGTGATTCAAAGTAGCTGTTGCTCAAAATTAATGTAGTACACATTTTGTAACTTTAGAACATTTTTAAAATGAGAGATGTTTTAAAATTAATAATCTCAGAAACATTAAGATCATGATCTTATTCACAGATAATATTTGATGGCAGTTTCAGTTAGGTCACTCCAGTTACTTTCCATGATAACATACATCAAGCAATTTAACACATGG